GAAATTTGATAGCTTAGATGTATCACGAAGTTTGAGAGAACTTCTTTTGAAGTTTGAGCTTGGACAAAGGAATAATTGCAACCACCCAACTTCACATCAAATGGTCAAGTTTGTTGAGGCCACACCTTTTATGAAAGGTAAATAGTCTCATTCTATACTTTCCCTAAAAGTATATATAAGAAAAGTAGATATAAAATAAATTAGAAATTAATTATAACTGATCTAATTATTATAATTCTCAGATCCAAATAAAAATATAGCTAAGGGTTGAATTTGGGTGAAAATGGGGAACTTAAGGGCTGAAAAAGGGAAATCATCAAAATGTCTTCAGACTGCACCCACCACATATGTTATTCAATTTTATATCTTGGTGAATTGTCAAATTTGATATCAAGTTTTGGACATCAGGAACCTGCTATCTAAATTTTTAATTTGTCAATCCTTTCCTTTCTTTTGGAAGGTCTGGCTTCCTGTTCTTCACTAAAGGAGCTATACTTAGCTGGAAACAAAATCAGCGAGGTCGAGGGGCTTCATCGGCTCTTGAAGCTGAATGTATTGGACCTTAGCTTCAACAAAATCTCAACAGCAAAGTCTCTCGGCCAACTTGCAGCTAACTACAGCTCTTTGCAAGCCATAAATTTAGAAGGCAACCCAGCTCAAAAAAATATGGGGGAAGAACAGTTAAAGAAATCTCTCCTCACTCTCCTTCCCAACCTCATCTACCTCAACAGGCAGCCCATCAAAGCCAGTGCTTCTGTCAAGGAGATCTCTGACCGAGGTGCTCGTTCCATTCCTGACAGGAGTGTGAGATCAGATCATAAACACCTAAGAAGAGGGGGCCACAGTGTGGCCTCTCATAAGGCATCGGGTTCCTTATCAGGTCGTGGTGGTCTAAACCAATCTATGATCTCACCTAAAAGGCACAAGAGTCGACACTCACGCTTCCCTCCAAGTGGGATCAAAGGAACTCATCATTATCAGCTTAACCTTGACAGCCAGCCTATTAACCCGCAACATACTCATTGGATGCGGAGAAGTCGTAGTGAGGGAACTCTGCAAGCATCGGCATAGTGGTAATGCAGAAAATGGACTCTTCAAACTGCATAGTTTGTGTTATTTGTAGTTAGTAGTATAGGAATAATTTTCATCAGGGTTTCAATTTTCAAAGTATTTTAGATAAGTGTGAAACTCTTGGTTTCGGCCTTTGTAGAGGATTTGGTCTTCGAACAGCATTGATCCATCAGCTGTTCTGAAACCAGAATTTGTGCGAATTGGGCTTTCTATTCTTAATTTTGGACTGAACAATCATTTATCTTTCGGGGTTGATTAAGCATCAAAATTAGAAATTCAAATATCACATAAACGGGTGTAGTATCTGGATAAACAGATTTGGAAGGTTTTACTCAGTTTAGTTGGGTTAGAATTTGGTTCATATTTTGAGCTCTCTACTTTACATTAAGAGTGATTTTATTTTCAAAATACGGTCGAAATCCTAAAACCCATTCGAAAATCTAGAACTTTGGTTTTACGTGGAATATATAAGAGACCTTTATCCTGATTGGGGAATTCATTTGTCGCTGCAGAATCTTTGCTAGCAGTCAATTGGATGACTTCCCTGCATATACAGTGAAGATCATGTGCGCTCGTCCAGTTGCCTCCAGATTTGGTTTATCTGCATGGTCATGTTGGCAAAAACTTGGCTCTCCTATTCATAGGCACATAAATGGTACAACCATTTGTACCTGTTTTATCTCAGATATTTGTTTTAATGGTTGGATTTTTTTATTTTACTTGGTTCGTATGGGCAAATGTGGATTATCTCATCTTAGCTCATCATCTATGTAATAAAGATCTTCTATGTTATAAAGATCTACACAAACCTTTAGCAGGTGCGATCAATTTTCGGTTCAGTAGGCTTACCACTAATTGGATAATGCTTCTGATTCTATCGGTTTCTTGAAATAAACTTTTGTTCATTGGAATGATCTTCATTTGGTCTATGCTATGTGAAGTTTGAGCGCTTTTCTTTTAAGCTGACGAGTGAAAACAATGCCACGAACTGTACATAAACTACTGCTGCTCATATGCAAAGAGGAGCTATTGCTTTTTCTCAGCGGTCTTATTCTATGGCTTCCAACTTGGAACTTTCAAACCGTCTGTGTTGGTACGGTTTGTTAGAGCTAAGATCTTTTGGAGGGTTCCTCTCTCTCTCTCTCTCTCTCTCTCTCTCTCTCTCTCTCTCTCTACTCGTACGTCTACTACTACGTACGTCGTACGTTACGTACGTACGTTACGTACGTTACGTTACGTTACGGTTACG